GTACGAATAATATGCCCAGTCCTAAGCCTACACGTTTCTTGTGGTTATTGCGCATTTGGTTATCATGGTCTGTTTTCTCTCTGTTACTCTTTTTTAACTCGAAGTTGCACAAATTGCCATTCTCTAATTCTTATCTTCTGCGAATATGTTGAGGTATATCTTCTTTCCTGACCATTCCACAAACATTTTATTTTTTGTTTCTAATACAACATCTCGATTTTGCAGAAACAAAGAAAAAACAAATTTGCAGCTATCAGAGTACTTTGTACATATTTCACATGTAATAAGCCATCTAATTATGTTGGTTAGTTTGTATAGATAGTCTAGAGAGTAGAAGCAAATGTACTTAGCATAGATACACATTGTACACAAGTCTTTGTTACAGCATCTTTTATCAAGCAGCTTGAGAATAATCAAGGCTACACAAAGTTACTTGCTCTGACCTCATGTTCTTAATTTCAGAGCTTCTTGGTATTTGAGACTATTTTCTCTTCTACTGACTATATTTAGGATTGCCATTAACATTTTCTCGAACCAAATATGTATCTTCATGCAACTAAAGTGTCATTTACTCTCTTATGTTGTATAAACTGATGACTTTTACGAATACTACCCACGATTCTGTTCTTATAACGTTCAGAAGTTACTTTCTATCACTAAGGAAAATAACTACGTTGTTCAAGATGGGATGATTTGGGGTTTCTGAAACAAATTCATGTGTGGTTGGCAAAATGTCTTACGTAAGTGAATATGTTATAAAATTGGTTTGACTTATTATGATCCAATAATGGGTTTTGTTTCCTCTTTTCCCAGTAGATGAGGTCCTTCGTTGGTAGGTTCACGGCGATCAATGAGGTAAAAGCGAATTTAGACACTAAAACTCATGTTTCAAAGTCGAATTCTATATCTTCTGATCCTTCTCTTCTATCTCTATACCTAGAAAACATGAGCTATTCATTCATTGACTTTGATAGCCAGCAATAGCAGAATCTCCAGAGATAGGAAGCACTTCAAGAATTGAGAGAGAAATGGAGAGATGACAAAAGAAGGAAAACAAGAGTACGAGGATTGTAAATTTAAACTGTCAAAAGAATTGATATACAACACAAAGCATTGCTCTTATCATAAAAAAAAAAAACCGAGTTACGTTATGGGAAGAGGTGGAGGGCTGAAAAAGGACACCAACATAGAAGTTTAAGGGACAATAATATATACGGGTTGGATATTTCATTCTTCTTACACGCATGTTCGTATCCGTGAATTCAATATAGGATCTAAGGATTTTCGCCAAGGGAAAAGCACCAGAGTTTTGATAGAAACATCTTTTGAGAATATACATAAGTCACCATGTAACATAATAGTTTTCATCAATGTTTTCGATTCTCGCTACCAACAAATTTAAAATTAATGCTAGATTAATGACAAGTTTGTGAAAATGTAATATCAAACTTTTAGGGTTGGTATTTGCGACCGAATTCACTATGTTCTTTATTCTTGACCGTCTACGTTTACTTCAACTTCTTCTCCTTCAAGTTTGTTCTTTTTCTTCTTTAGAATTTTCGTCGTCTTCTTCTCTCGGTTTAATTTTTTCTTCTTCTTTCTCTTTTCCATTTTTTTCTTCATCATCTTTGTTTTCTTTATTTTATATGAATTATTTTTCTTCTTGATCTTTGTTTTTCCTTTCTTCCACTTTCGATTTTGAAAGCATATGTACAGGAGGTATCTTTCCCATTCTTGTCATGTAATGGAAACCAGTCTTGGTCTTTTGTTTGGATTCTTGTCTTCCATGTTTTCTCCCACATCATAGTTCTTTGGTCTAGCTTCCTCATTTTTTTTAGGTGTTAGAGATGTATGCATTTAAGCTGCACTAGAAATATATATCAACAATAAAGAAGAAATATGTTCCAAGTATTTTCAAACAATTTAGCTTGTACTTAATAGAAATTAGACCCCAAACGGAAATTGATTCACAAAGTAGTTGTTTTGATTCGAATTAATATAAAGGAAACTCAATTTTTTTTTTAATGGAAACTCAAACTTGTGTTTTAAGGAGAGTTCACAATCACACATGCTAAAGTTGTACTGATGCTTATTTTTATTACTCAAAAATAAACTTTTGCGATTAACTATGTTGTATATGATAATACAAAATTAACAGCAATGATTTAATACAAAAGTTAATTTTAAGAACGTCAAGTTTATTTTTAATGGTTTATAATACTGTTAAAATCATTTAACAAATTAAACGATAGATATTATGGTTCATTAGCTTTTACAAAATTGTAAAATTCATATTTTTAAAAAATAGTCATAGAGGACAAAACCCGCGCGTAGCGCGGGCTCTCATCTAGTATTTATAATATTGATTGCTGTCTAAAACCCTTCCTTCACGGACTTTTGTTTTGGGCGGGTGACATGCATGTGTTCCGCTGTCTTGCCGACGGGGAACAAGTGATCGAGACGCGATGGACAGATATGGTCAATATTATTGAAATCGATGAAGTTAACTAAGCTGGGCAGTTGAATTCAAGCTGGACGAATATTTTAGACCGGACAAGACAGTTACCATGGTCGCATTCGGACATGACGGTTATTGCGGTATGTCTGGACAAGGCAATTACGCATATTGTCAGATCGAGCTGAATTCGTTCTAAGGCCCTTCTGCGAGAATGGTTACTAAACCAAAGACGCGCTGGGTTAATGAAAAATCTGAGCAATTTTAAGGCGTTTCTCGATAAAAATTACCCTTAGACTGATTTTCTTGAGAGAAAAGAAAAAAGGAGACTTAGAAAGAAATAAAGAGAGATTTGTCGAGAAAAAAGAGAGAAAAACTCAAGAGAATCTTTAAAAGATTCGAGTGTGGGTAGAATCGATCAAGTCTGAGCATAGCGGCGATCGAATATGTGGAATCTGGATGAGCTGCGGCTACGTATCCATCGGGTAATCACGGCAAGAAAAGTCACGGAGAATGGTCGAGTAAGAACTGGAGAGAACAAGAGAAAAGAGGGGAACTATCGAGAGATTCAACGGGGTCGGAGTATTCCGCGAGGATCAATGAAGTATGCGGGCAGACAACGGTAATTGGTCATGTGGGAGAAGGAACCAAAAATTGTGGAATGTGGTGCATGGAATAGTGATCCACGCCACCTCTCTTCTTACTTGGTCATGTGGGGATGGAGGTGGTGTAGTGAACAATGCTCTAGAAAGAGAGGATCAGCTAAATGCATTTGGAAAAGAGTAGCCAAGCGGTTGCGAGTACAAGTCAATGGGCAATCCGATATCGACAAACGACAAGGAACGTGTTAATCCGTTTCCGATATTGTGTTTCTGTTGTTTCTAATAGCTTAAGTGTTCTTAAGCGTATATGTTAAGTGGTTGCCTTGATTTATTTTGGCTATTGTTGGAGTCGATTTGTGGTAAACGTCTTCGAGGAGTTTAAGAAAATAGGCAAAAATTTATAGAGGTTCGGTCACGGCGTTGGCCGGGTAAGATTTTGGTGCTGCGGATGGAAAATCTGGGTCGAGACCTTTCACCGGGTCTAGATATGAACACTAACCTCGTACAATGTAAAAAATTTAGACTCGAACAATATTTATAAAAAAAAGTTGAAAAAAACAAACCAAGGATTTTGGGAAAAGCGACCTATATTAATGGCCATAAAAAAAATATCGAATAGAGCCCTATAGAAAAACGTATTTTCGAGTGCGAAATTGAGAAATTTGGAAAAATACTCTTTTGACTTTTTAAATTTGAAAAATACCTCTCTTTATTTTTGTTTTAAAATACACTTTATTAAATATAAAATTACGAAAATGTCCTAAAAAAATCTGCACAACAAATGATAAATTATTATAGTATATATAAAATAGAACCAATTTGTGATAAGTTAATGTATGTATCGTGACAATTTTTTTTAAATCTATATATGAAGCTTTAGCCTATATTTTAGGGTGACATATCTTTTACCAGCTTTTTCATTTGAAATTATAGAAGTTTTTTTATAACATAAATTATAATTTTATAAAAAAAAATTATTATTAATATGCGAAAATTGTTTTATAATTTATAATTTTATAAAAACATCATATGTAACAAGATGTTTATCTTATTTATATCTAATAATAAATTTTAAATTTTAAATCAACAAATAGCTTTATCAATAAGAAATATATTTACGAATTAATTAAATTTTAAATCAATAACACAACTTTATCTAAAAAAAATTATTAATAACAAAAACGAATAAAAAAGAAAATTAATTTTTAAATCAAGAACACAACTTTATCTCAAATAAAAAAATGA